AGGTGACTTCACACCCTGCTGGGGCCTGGAAGGTTTTCAAGAAAAGGGGCTCTGAACATCCAGCCTTGTCCTGGATCAGTCAAAAGAATGTTAAGGGTTATTCTTCCTTTAAGAAGTCAATGTGCAATAGTTTGTTACTTTCCCAGGAGTCACCAAACAGTCCAGTTTAAACACAGCCCTGGATTGGTCTCTTTCAGAGTCCAGTGAACCTTTGCAATGGATTCTTCTGACAGTAACCTCCTGAGGCAGGCGAAAGGGAGTCTGTCTCGAAGGCTACAGGTCCTGCTGCTTTTTCCCCTGCAGGAGCTGTCAGCTAAAATGCAAATAGTTTAGTTTCTGCCCCCTCTGGTGCTATTGATGGGGCCACCCCTCCCCCTGGTTAGCTTGATGGGTCTGTTTAAACAAGATGTAAATTAGAGCTATCAAAAATTTTAAAAATTAATTGTGCTGTTAAGCAATAATAGAATACCATTTATATAAATACTTTTGGATGTCTTCTACATTTTCAAGTACATTTATTTCAATTACAACACAGAATACAAAGTGTACAGTGCTTATTTTATATTCATTTTTATTACAAATATTTGCAATGTAAAAAAGACACAAAAGAAATAGTATTTGAATTCACGTAATAGAAGTACTGTAGTGCAATATCTTTACCATTAAAGTTGAACTTACAAATGTAGAATTATGTACAAAAAAAACTACACTCAAAAATAAAGCAATGTAAATCTTTAGAGCCTACACGTCCACTCAGTCCTACTTCTTGTTCAGCCAATTGCTAAGACAAACAAGTTTGTTGACATTTATAGGAGATAATGCTGCCTGCTTCTCATTTATAAAGTCACCTGAAAGTGAGAACAGGTGCTCACATGGCACTTTTTTGCCAGCGCTGCAAGGTAGGCGAAACATTCATATATCCCTTAGTGCTTCAGCCAGCATTCCAGAGGACATGCGTCCATGCTGATGACGAGTTCTGCTCGATAACGATCCAAAGTAGTGCGGACTGACACACATTCATTTTAATTATCGGAGCCAGATGCCACCAAGAGAAGGTTGATTTTATTTTCTGTTGGTTCTGGTTCTGTAGTTTCTGCATCGGAGTGTTTCTCTTTTACGACTTCTGACAGCATGTTCCACATCTCGTCCCTCTCAGATTTTGGAAGGCACTTCAGATTCTTAAATCTTGGGTCAAGTGCTGTAGCTATCTTTAGAAATCTCTGTGTTTTGTCAAATCTGCAGTGAAAAGTGTTCTTAAAATGAATAACATGTGCTGGGTCATCATCTGAAGCTGCTATTACATGAAATGTATGCCAGAATGCCGGTAAAACACAGAGCAGGAAACTTGCAATTCTCCCCCAAAAAGTTCAGTCACAAATTTAATTAACACATTATTTTTTTAATGAGCATCATCAGCATGGAAGCATGTCCTCTGGAATGGTGGCTGAAGCATGAAGGGACATATGAATGTTTAGCATATCTGGCATGTAAATACCTTGCGACGCTGACTACAAAAATGCCACCCGTACACCTGTTCTCACTTTCAGGTGACACTGTAAATCAGAAGCGGGCAGCATTATCTCCCATAAATGTAAACAAACTTATTTGACTTTGGCTGAACAAGAAGTAGGACTGAGTGGACTTGTAGGCTCTAAAGTTTTACAGTGTTTTGTTTTGAGTGCAATTTTGTAATAAAAAAATCTACATTTGTAAATTGCACTTTCACGATAAAGAGATTGTACTACAGTACTTGTATAGATGAATTGAAAAATACTATTTATTTTGTTAATCTTTTTTACAGTGCAAATATTTGTAATAAAGTAATAATATAAAGTGAGCACTGTACACTTTGTATTCTGTCATGTTTCAGAGTAGCAGCCATGTTAGTCTGTATCTGCAAAAAGAAAAGATAGAGGTGGATAGGACTTTTTAGAAAAGCTGGCCGTGCACAAGTCCATGGGGCCGGACGAGTTGCACCCGAGAGTGCTGAAGGAACTGGCGGCTGTGATTGCAGAGCCATTGGCCATTATCTTTGAAAACTCGTGGCGAACCTTAGAGACTAACAAATTTATTTGAGCATAAGCTTTCTGGAGGATGGTGGGTTGCCTCCCATTTGCGGTGACCGGGGGGGGGGGGGGGGGGGGGGGGGGGGGAGGGGAGGAGAGCCGAGGAGGGGAGAGAGAAAGGGCCCCCCCGCCCCCCGCCCCCCCACCCGGGGGGGCGCGGGAGGGGGCGGCGGCGGGGGGGCGGGGGGGGGGGGGGGGGGGGGGGAGGGGAGGGGGGCGGCCCCGGGCGAGGGGGGGGGGGGGGGGGGGGGGGGGGGGGGAGGGGGGGGCCCCCCCCTTTTCGGGGCCCCGGGGCGGGGTCCGGGGCCCCCCCCAAAAGAGGAGGGAGAAAAGGGAGAGAGGGGGGAAGAAAAAAAAAAAGATGAGGGGGGTGGAAGATATGAGGGAGGAGGAGGGGGGGGGGGGGGGGGGGGGGAGAAAAAAAAAAGAAGGAGGGGGGGGTTTTTTTTTTTCCCCAAACAGAAGGAAAAAGGAGGGGAGGGCAAGGAAGGGAAGAAAGAAGAGAAAGGGAAATAGAGGGGGGGGGGGGGGGGGGAGATGAAAAAAAAAAAAAATTTTTAAAAGAAAGAGGAAAATAAAAGGTAGGGAGGGAGGTGGTCATCCTCCTTAGAGGTTGGTATGGGGAGGCGGCAAACCCCTGGGGGGGGGGGGATATTGGGAAGGGGTTGTTTGAGGGGGGGGGGGGAGAAGATTTTGGGGTCCCCTCCCCCCCCCCTTTTCTTTTATTCTATGATTCTTTGATTCTTTTATTTTATGAAAAGGAGGAATTGGGGGACCTTAAAAGAAACAAAATTTTTTTAGGAGAAGCTTTCGTGAGCTACAGCCCACTTCATCGGATGCATCTCTAGGTCTCTAAGGTGCCACAAGTACTCCTTTTTTTTTTTTTTTTGGTATTCTGTGTTGTAATTGAAATCAATATATTTTAAAATGTAGAAAAACATCCAAAACATTTATAATAAATTTCAAATGGTATTCTATTATTCTCTAAGTGTGTGATTAAAACTGCAATTAATCACGAATAATTTTTTAAATCCCAATTAATTATTTTTGAGTTAATCACATGAGTTAAATGCAATTAATTGACAGTACTAATGTAAATACATTTCCATGGTCTTTCAAAATCCTATAGCGGTAACTTCTCGGGGGAAACTACTTTCCTTTGTCTAGGGTGGGGTGCCCTGAGAAATGTGTTCTCCAGCTGCTCCACGCTCTGTGCAGCCTCTCTAGGACCAGGACCCATCACTCCCTTGTTCTTGATGGTATTAGGGACTCCAGAACAATGCCCAGTCTTTATGGAAACTCCTTCTGCCCCCTCCCGAGGATGTGGACGTCTCCTTTCTGCCCTTTGACATAGTGGATTCTATGCATGATGCCCCCTTAATACTGAGAGAAGCTGCCCCTGCCCAGAGGACGTAGGGCCCCAGGAGGCAGAATCTGGGGCGCGGGGCGGGAGGGGGGCTGCAGGGCAGCCCCTTGATCGCTAGGACCCAGGAGCTCAGCAGCTGGGATGTGGCTCTGGGAGTGATCACTGCTGGCTGGGGTCACTACTGAGTCCTGTGGCAGCAGGAAGTAATTAGTGAATCGCACTCTGCAGTGATTGAATCTGGGGTGCTGTGGGGAGCCCGCGCTCCTTGCAAGATCCACAAGCCCCGGCCGCTGCTGCTGGGGACCCCGGGGCCCTGGTTGCAGCCGGGAGAGGGGAATCTCCAGCAGCAACACTCCCCCTGCTCCTCCAGGAGCCTCTCCCGGTGCAGAGACCCCAGCCTGGCCAGGACCCCCCTTCCCGGGCCCCAGCCCCTGCTCCCGGGGAGGGCACCGCTTGGAGGGAAGGTAAGAGAGACCTGCCCATCCCCCCAGGGAGAGGTGCCCCCCGGTGCCATCCTGGCTGCAGGGGAGGGTTTGGCCCCAGGCTGCTCCCAGCGGGGCTGGCTGCGATTCCCTGCCCTGGGCCCGGGAAAGCTGCCGCCAGCTCCCGGTGTTTGCGGGGCGGGTGAAGCCAGCGCGCGCCGTGGCGAGGGCTGGGACAGCGACACCTGGGGGGTCAGAGCGAGATGGGAGCCGGGGTCACGTTACCACCCGCTGCCCACACTGTCTGCTGCTTTGTGTTCCCTGTCCCTGGCCATGCTGGTGTGAACGGAGGCTGCTCAGTGAGATCTGCCGACACCGCCCTGCCAGTCCCATTTTTGCTCCTTGATACAGTTTGGGCATAAAAAACCGAGGACGATTTGTGGCACCTTAGAGACTAACAAATGTATTTGGGTGTAAGCTTTCCTGGGCTAAAACCCACTTCATGGGATGCATGCAGTGGAAAATACAGTAGGAAGATAGCAAAAAGAAAAGGAGTACTTGTGGCACCTTAGAGACTAACCAATTTATTTGAGCATGAGCTTTCGTGAGCGACAGCTCACTTCAATATACACAGAGAACATGAAAAAAATGGGTGTTGCTGTACCCACTGTAAGAAGACTAATCATTCCCAGTAGTTTGCTCTGTTTTCTTTCTTATTGACATGTGGCTCATCTGTGAATGAATCAAGTATTGGCCCAATCCTTTCTGGGACTTTCCTTTGATCAGATATCTTTTCCTTTTCGGAGATTTCACAAGCGTTCAGAATTTCTATTTCATCTTTAAATTAAAGATGTGTCTGAGGTTGATTCAATGACATCATTATTTCTAACTCAAGCATTTCCATCTTCATTCACGTTTTGGTGAAATGAAATTTGCCTTGACTTTGTCCTCTTCTGACAGTGGGAATTGCTATCTAGGATCAGGGTGTATAGAGGAGAGACTGTCATCAGTTCCAACAGATTTTTTTTTCTCATTTTTCCATTGAAGCTAGTAAGGATTAATTAAACAGTGAAGATAGAAGAAAATTTTGATATTTCCAGTTGGCATTTTAACCAAGCACCATAAAGTCACCCATGGTCATTCATGTTAAAGTATCTTTGTTGTCAAATTATCAGGTTTCAGTGGAATTGTGATGCCTTCACCAGCCCTCCATTCTGCTTCTGTCAGGTGAAGCTCATGGCACGAGGTGGCCACGTCCTGTCAGAAATCCCTGAGCTCCAAGTGTCTCTCAGGCAGGCTCAGAACTGAGCTCAGTGCTCACTGCAGCAGCAAGGCTGGACCAAGGGACCACCAGGAACACACTGGGTTGCAGACAGACTGGCCTGCCGCTCAGGCAGAACTTGGCTCTGAATCTGAGCCTGCCAGAGCCAGCCAGGATGGGTGAAGAGAAAGAACAGCTCTGGAGATGGGGTGGCCGGTTGGAGGTGTGTATCAGACAGTGCCCTGGAAGGTGGGAGTTGGGAGTGGGCCCTGCAGATGGCTTCAATGGGGAAGGGAGTTTGGAGTATGAACCCTGCTATAAGTTGGGCAATTGGAGGGAGGAGATGCCCCACAGGTTGGCGATGATAGGTGGAGGCCTAAGGCAGCATTTCTCAAATGTGGCTACCAGGGGCTTTTCTAGCAGCCATAGCTTCCTGGGTGGTGACTGAGGGAAGAAGCAGCGGCCCCTCCCCCAGGGCTTCCAGCAGGGGTTGGGCCCTGTCCCCCTCTGGAGCCGGAAACGCTGGAGAAGCAGGCAACCAATTTGAGTTCCCCACCTTCCTGGGGGCAGTGGGGCTTGGGCTTCCGGCTTCAGCCCATGCAGCAGGCTCTGGCCGTGGGGCTTCAGGCTTTAGCCACACAGGGACAGGCTCCATCCTCTGGCCTCAGGCTCACCTCTCCCGCATCAACTCTGGCACCCACTACCTCATCTGGCCCTCGGCTTCAGCCATGTGGCAGGGCTCCAGGCTCTGGTCCCAGCTGTGCTGCGGCAGGTGCCAGTCTGGGCTCATAACCCCTGCCTGTCACCCCTGGTCCTCGCTGCCTCATCCATCCCTGGGATCTCGCTGCGTGGCAGTGAGCTCCATTCCTGGGCCCTGGGCTCCAACCCCAGGACCCCAGGATCCAGCCTGGAGCTTTGGGCTCTGGCCCCAGGCTCTCACCTCCTCCCCCCTATCACCCCGATTCCCGGTATGTCCTCTGGCCTCGGGTTTTAGCTACACAGCAATGGGCTACGGTCCCTAGCTGCAGGGTTTCCGGTGCCAGCCTGGACCTCAGGCTTTGGGTGCTGGCCCTTAACCCACCCCCAACATCACCGCTGGCCCCCGCTTCTTCCCCTGGCCCTTCACACAGACCCCCAACACCTCTGGCCCCCGCTGCCTCTTCCAGCCCCACATTTGTTACCCCTGGCCCCGGATGCCTCCCTACCCACCTCCCCATCCAGGGCTTTATTTGTCTCCCAGCTTGCCAGGGCTGAGTAAATCTGCTGTGAAAAGTGATATTTGAATGCTTGTCAGTATCACTTTTCACTGCTTCCCAACTAGCTAGCTAGTGTGCTTCTGTGAAAAATCATATTAACAAACATACAAATATCACTTTTCAGTAGCAGACTGACTAGCTAGCAAGTCTAAAAAAAACCCCAACAAGCAAAAGATAAAACAACAAAAGACAATAGCATGCAAAACACATTATTTTTGTTTCTATTCTGTTTAGGTCCAGTAAAAAATAGAGACAACTGTACATTATTTTATTATTGCATTTGCAAAAAAACTCACCCTACATCAATAAATTACAATGATTTGGACATGTGCATACAGTATTTATTTGTTTTTCCTAAAGTTAATTCAGTATTTTAGGAAAAATTGTCAGAGTAGCCATCAGCAAGAGTTGGTGGCCACACTCTGAGGCCACCAAAGATTTGTTATGAGAAGCCCTGGGAGAAGGTTGGGGAGCCATTACCTTTGCCCCTGGGCTTGAAGAATTATTATGAACTTCAAGGCCTGGGGAGCATCCCAACTCTTATCTTCCCAGGAGGGCATCTCAGAGATGGTTCCTCTATCTGTGGGCCCCCCTTCTGCCTCCCATGGTATGCAGGCAGCTGCAAACCTTCCCCTCTCCCTCCCTGCCCTTGTGGACTGGCCCCCCTCTATGCTCATTCTCTTCTCACTATCCTGGGGCAGGCCATTCTGGGAGCAATCAGCAGCCCATTGACTAATTTGTTGTCTTCTCTTAAAATGAAAATAAGATCACTGTCCATTTTTTCCAATAATATTGAGCTTAAAAAATGCTGAATCTTTATTTTAACTCTTTCCCTTGCCCTCCCCCACTTTTTTCAGTTCAGTTCAGGTTCAGCTGGTAAAACTAAATTATGGTTCAGGTTCAATTCCAGTTCCAGTACAAAAACCAGATTTGAACTGTTTCTCCAGTTCCAGTGTGAGACCAGGTGGGCCTGACTGTCCCTGGGGGCTGCAGGGGCAGCACAAGGAGGCTCGGTCATTAACTGCCCCCAACCAGAGGGCTCTGGTAATCGCTAAGGCAGAGGAGGCTGGTGTCAGTCTCTCTTTGTACTCAGGATACTGCAACCCTAGAGCTAGCTGAGCTTCCTGGGGTAGATGCTGCTGCCTCCATTGTGATCTGGGAGCCTGGGCTGAGAGGCTGCTGCTGCCCAGTGGGGTCTGTGCTGGAACAGACCATCATTAAAACTCCTCTTTGCCCAACCAGGGGGACTTTTTTCGGTGGCTGGAACCAGCCCTGGTCTCTGCTGACACAGAATATATTGGAAGGACAGAACAGGTCGTGCAGGTGGGGGGGAGTGGCACTATATGTGAAAGAAAGCATAGAATCAAATGAAGTAAAAATCTTAAATGAACCAACCTGTACCATAGAATCTCTATGGATAGTAATTCCATGCTCTAATCATAAGAATATAGCAGTAGGGATACATTACTGACCACCTGACCAGGATGCTGATAGTGACTATGAAATGCTCAGGAAGAGTAGAGAGGCTATTAAAATAAAAAACTCAGCAGTAATGGGAGATTTCAACTATCCCCATGTTGATTGGGTATATAACACCCAGGATGGGATGCAGAGATAAAGTTTCTTGACACCTTAAATGACTGCTTCTTGGAGCAGCTAGTCCTTAAACCCACAAGAGGAGAGGCAATTCTTGATTTAGTCCTAAATGGAGCACAGAATCTGGTTCAAAAGGTGAATATCGCTGGACCACTTGGTAATAATGACCATAATATCATTAAATTTAACATCCCTGTGGTGGGGAGAACAACACAGCAGCCCAACATTGTCGCATTTAATTTCAGAAAGAGGAACTACACAAAAATGAGGAGGTTAGTTAAACAGAAATTAAAACATACAGCGCCAAAAGTGAAATCCCTACAAGCTGCACGGAAACTTTTAAAAGACACCATAATAGAAGCTCAACTTAAATGTACGCCCCAAATTAAAAAACATAGAGAATGAAAAAAGTGCCACGGTGGCTTAACAACAAAGTAAAAGAAGCAGTGAGAAGCAAAAAAGCATCCTTTAAAAAGTGGAAGTTAAATCCTAGTGAGGACAATAGAAATGAGCATAAACTCTGGCAAATGAAGTGTAAAAATATAATTAGGAAGGGCAAAAAAGAATTTGAAGAACAGCTAGCCAAAGACTCAAAAAGTAATAGCAAAAATTTTTTTAAGTACATCAGAAGCAGGAAGCCTGTTAAACATCCAGTGGGTTGAAATAGACGATCGAGATGATAAAGGAGCACTCAAGGACGATAAAGCTGGAACTGGAGAGGGGAGCAAGTTGCTGCTGCTCAACATATTCATAAATGATCTGGGAAAAGGGGTAAACAGTGAGGTGGCAAAATTTGCAGATGATACAAAACTATGTAACTGCAAAGAGCTACAAAAGGATCTCTCAAAACTGGGTGACTGGGCAACAAAATGGCAGATGAAATTCAATGTTGATAAATGCAAAGTTATGCAGAGTGGAAAACATAATCCCAACTGTACATATAAAATGATGGCGTCTAAATTGGCTGTTACCACTCAAGAAAGAGATCTTGGAGTCATTGTGGATAGTTCTCTGAAACCATCCACTCAATGTGCAGCGGCAGTCAAAAAAGCAAACAGAATGTTGGGAATCATTAAGAAAGGGATAGATAAGAAGAGATAATAAGACAAAAAATATCATATTGTCTCTATATAAATCCATGGTATGCCCACATCTTGAATACTGCCTGCAGTGGTCACCCCATCTCAAAAAAGACATATTGGAATTGGAAAAGTTTCAGAAAAAGGCAACAAAAATTATTAGGGGTATGGAACGGCTGCCATATGAGGAGAGATTAATAAGACTGGGACTTTTCGTCTTGGAAAAAAGATGACTAAGGGGGGTTATGATAGAGGTCTATAAAATCATGACTGATGTGAAGAAAGTAAATAAGGAAGTGTTATTTACTCTTTCTCATAACACAAGAACTAGAGGTCACCAAATGAAATTAATAGGCAGCAGATGTAAACCAAACAAAAGGAAGTATTTTTTCATACAACGCACAGTCAACCTGTGGAACTCCTTGCTGGAGGATGTCATGAAGGCCAAGACTATAACAGGGTTCAAAAAGAACAAGATAAATTCATGGAGGATAGGTCCATCAATGGCTATTAGCCAGGTTGGGCAGGGATGTTGTCCCTAGCCTCTGTTTGCAGAAGCTGGGAATGGGCGACAGGAGATGGATCACTTGATGGTTATCTGTTCTGTTCATTCTCTGTGGGGCATCTGGCATTGGCCACTGTCGGAAGACAGGATACTGAGCTAGATGGACTTTGGTCTGACCCAATATGGCCGATCTTATGTTCTTATGACGCCAGATCCTGAGTTGGAGACTCCAGCTGATGAGAGAGACTTAGGGAAAAGTGCTGGGTCCGGGCAGGAAAGTGACTCTGCACAAATGGCCCCTCCTTGCCTATCTCTGCTCCCCAGGGGTTTGCGAGTCCCATAGCTGCTGTCCCCGACACATCCAGGCCCACATTCCTGTTGGCAGTGGCAGTAGCTGTTGGAGAGGAAATGCCCACAGGAATGGCCGATCAGTAACCAGTTCTTCCATGCAGAAGGGAGAGTGGAGAGACTGAAAGAGACAGCAGGAGCAATAAGTGGGGAGAAAGGTTCCTGGCTCCCAACCCTGCCCAGCTCCATTCCCTGCAGTATCCCAGGGCACATTGACTTTCCTGGGACAAGGTGAGGAACAGAGACAGAGAAAGCCAGTTCCTGCCTCTGCCTAGTCCCCATGATGCTGGGGGAATGTGCTGCCCTGGGGACAGTGTCAAGGGGATCCCCCAAAATGGCTCCTTTGATTCTGCTCTTTTTTATCTTTTGGCTCAGAGACTCTGTTCCTGGGAGGGTTTAAAAATGCCTCATGTGTTTAGTCCCAGTGGGAAGGGTCAGGTCTGTGTTGTAATAACATAACTGAGAGTTTTCCCAGCATGGCAGAGTCTAGAGCAGGGTTTCTCAAACTGGGGATCAGCACCGCTCAGGGGGTCATGAGGTTATTACATAGGGGGGTTGCAAGCTGTTTGCCTCCACCCCAAACCCGCTTTGCCTCCAGCATTTATAATGGTGTTAAATATATAAAAATGTGTTTTTAATGTATAAGGCGGGGTCACACTCAGAAGCTTGCTATGTGAAAGGGGTCACCAGTAAAAAAATCTGAAAACCCCTGGTCTAGAATGTCTGTCTGCAGGGAAAGAGCCTGGGGGGAATTGGGGTGTGAAATGGACTAGCGCTAATTAAGAAACCTCCCCAATTGCCCTTCTTATCCTGACAGTCTGCAGAGTAACCATCACATTTTGCTCCAGATCATCCCATCGTCGTAGGGGCTGGGGAAGGGAAATGGCTGTGGTGGATCCAGCTCAGGTAGCAGAAGTTTGTGGGGAGCTGCTGGGGAGGGTTGTCGTGAAGGGGGAGGGTTGTCGTGGAGGGGAGGGGCAGGGAGGGGACAGGGTGTGATACACTTAGTGGGCCATGCTCAGTCTAGGGCTGGGAAAACAGACCAAAGTGCTGGAGGCTAAACCCACTAGGCAAAGACTCTGCTGAAATACAGTTGCTGGGATTCCTGTCCCTGTCCCCTGCCCAGAACTCTGCTTCCCATGTCAGCCTGTGCCTCATAGGTATGTGGTAAATGAAAAGACCCTGCCTTCCTCCATCTGCTGGGATGGACAAGGAGCTCTCCCCTTCTGTCTGTTCCCTGGAGACTCCTGGCCACTCTGAACAGGGTGGGGGTGGGATTCTGCTCCTCTGGCCTTTCCAGAGCTGCCCTATTTCTGTGCTTCTTCCCCCATAAATACTAGGATTGTGGCTGGGACAGCAGGTGCTAAGAAGGGAACATTTGTTGTTTCAGATGCCGGTGACCTTCGAGGATGTGGCTGTATATTTCAGTGAGGGGCAGGGGGCTCTGCTGGACCCCGGTCAGAGAGTCCTCTACAGGGACGTCATGCAGGAGAATTATGAGACGGTGACTTCGCTGGGTAAGGACTCCTGTCCCCTCAGCTATTTGAAGCCAGGGGTCTGCATTTCTGAATCTGGTCAGGTTCTTCCCTGGTCAGGTACATTAGAGGGGAATGTGTCACATAGTCCAGAGCTCCAGTGTGAGAGAGCCGTTCACCTCCATACCTCCTCCAACAGGATAGGGGAGTCATGAACCTAATGGACATGCTAATTCATCCCCTTACCTCCAGCTTTCACAGGGACAGAAGCAATGTGTTAACCTATCTGCATTAATTCTCACTCACACACAGAATCTCTGTGCACCTCCCTTCATGTGACTAGCTCTATGTGTGGGGAGGGCTCTGATCTCTGTAGGTTCAGACATAGGCAGGGGTTTAACACCAGAGCTGTGTGTGCCTCAGCAAGTCCCCCAGAGCCCACAGATCCTGAAAGCTCCTAGTGAGGGTGTGACAACTCCCCCTGCCCCAGACATCTGCCTCTCTCAAGGGGGCTCAGTGACCATGTTCCCATCTGTTCAGACCCCACAACCCCCCAGCAAATCATGGGGTCAGTTTAATCTCATTATGTGCCCTTTGTGACAAATACTCCACCAATCCTCAGTGCACTCTGATCATGCCTGATTTCACCCCCTGCGCAGGACTCTCCATTCCCAAACCTGACCTGATAGCCCGGCTGGAAGCAGGGGAAGAGCTGTGGGTCCCAGATCTCCAGGCCCCCAAGGAAAGCAACATCCAAAGAGGCAGCCGCACAGGTGAGGAGTCAGTAACACTGACACAGGAGGTATATGGCAAATGAAGGAAAAAGCTGAAAATCCCCAAAATATGGCATGAGCGCCCTCAGTTCTTCCTCATCTCCCCTAGGTAGGCTGTTGTCAGCAGGTGTTGTATAATCATGGCAGATATCGCTCATGACTTCCCACCCACCATGTTAGCTGTCAGGAGTTTTCTCCCTGATGTCACTTCCCTGTGAGTGTTTGGATGGGATGTGGTGGCAGAATCCAGTTTCATAGTCTCCCCAAAGTTATTGTGTTGTGTTTTCCCCCTTTGCTATTCCCCTTTCTGTCCTTTCTGCCAGCCCAGGCAATGACTCCTGCCTGGATTCTCTCTCTCCCCCAGCAGGTGACGAGACAAAGAGTGAGAACGAGGAGGGGAATCCACAGCAGGAAGGTCCTGAGAAAATAGAACTTCAGGGGAGGTTATTGAGAAGAGCTGAAGGGAATTTTTCCCAGTGCTTGGAACAGAGAAAAGCCTGGAGTAATTGGCACAGGTCAAAGAGGAACCTGGGAAACCACCGAAGGAAGAAAGTGGATGAATCCATTGAATATGGGGGAGGAGGCAAGAATCCCAAGGAAACCACAATTCAGCAGACAAATCCCAAGGAAAAGAAACCCTATAAATGCTTGGATTGTGGGAAAAGCTTCAGTCAGCGCTCAGTCCTTACTAACCATGGGAGAATCCATATAGGAGAGAGACCATATAAATGCTTGGATTGTGGGAAAGGCTTTAATTGGAGCTCAAATCTTACTACCCATCGGAGACTGCACATGGGAGAGAGATCATATGAGTGCCTGGAGTGTGAGAAAAGCTTCAGTCAGCGCTCCGGCCTTATTAGCCACGGGAGAATCCACACAGGAGAGGGACCATATAAATGCCTGGAGTGTGGGAAAAGTTTCAGCGCACCATCAGCCCTCATTACACATCAGAGGACCCACACAGGAGAGAAACCCTATAAATGCTTGGACTGTGGGAAAAGCTTCAGTCAACGCTCGCACCTTATTAGCCATAGGAGAATCCACACAGGAGAGGGACCATATAAATGCACTGAGTGTGGGAAAAGTTTTAGTGTACCATCAACCCTTATTACACATCAGAGGACCCACACGGGAGAGAAACCTTATAAATGCTTGGACTGTGGGAAAAGCTTCAGTCAGCACTCAGTTCTTATAACCCATGGAAGAATACACACAGGAGAGGGACCACATAAATGCACTGAGTGTAGGAAAAGTTTCAGTGTACGATCAGCCCTTATTATACATCAGAGAACCCACACGGGGGAGAAACCCTATAAGTGCTTAGACTGCGGGAAAAGCTTCAGTCAGCGCTCAGGCCTTATTAGCCACGGGAGAATCCACACAGGAGAGGGACCATATAAATGTTTGGATTGTGGGAAAAGCTTCAGTCGGCGCTCAATCCTTATTAGCCATGGGAGAACGCACACGGGAGAGGGACCATATAAATGCCTGGAGTGTGGGAAAAGTTTCAGTGCACCATCAGCCCTTATTGTACATCAGCGAACCCACACGGGAGAAAAACCTTATAAATGCTTGGACTGTGGGAAAAGCTTCAGTCAGCGTTCAGTCCTTATTAATCATGGAAGAATCCACACAGGAGAGAGACCCTATAAATGCTTAGACTGCGGGAAAAGCTTCAGTCGGAGCTCAAATCTTGTTACCCATCAGAAACTGCACACGGGAGAGAGACTCTATAAATGCTTGGAATGTGGCAAAAGTTTCAATCGGAGCTCAAATCTTGTTGCCCATCGGGGACTGCACACGGGAGAGAGACCCTATAAATGCTTGGACTGTGGGAAAAGCTTCAGTCAGCACTCAGGCCTTATTAACCATAGGAGAATCCACACTGGAGAGAGACCCTATAAATGCTTGGACTGTGGAAGAAGCTTCAATCGGAGGTCAACTCTTACTTCTCACTGGAGACTACACGTGGGAGAGAGACCATAAAAATACCTTGAGTGTGGGCAAAGCTTCAGTCAGAGCTCAAAACTCAGTTCACATCAGAGAATCCACACAGGAGAGAAATCCTATAAGTGCCTCCACTGTGGGAAAAGTTTCAGTTAGAGCTCAAACCCGGGCTGTCAATTAATCGCAGTTAACTCACACAATTAAGTCAAAACAAATTAACTTGATTAAAAAAAATCATGATTAATTGCAGTTTTAATCACACTGTTAAACTATAATAGAATATCTATTTAAATTTATTATGAATATTTTTTGATGTTTTTTCTACATTTTCAAATAGATTTCAATTACAACAGAGAATACAAAGTGTACAGGGCCCACTTAATAGTATTATTTTTTATTACAAATATTTGTAGCAGAAAAAAGATAAACAAAAGAAACCGTATTTTTCAATTCACCTCATACAAGTACTGTAGTGGAATCTCTTTATCATGAAAGTGTAACTTAGAAATGTACATTTTTTTTGTTACATAACTGCACTCAAAACCAAAACAATTTCAAAAATTTAGGGCCTACAAGTTCACTCAGTTCTACTTTTTGTTCCGCGAATCCCTAAGACAATCATGCTTCCATAGTGATGACGCTCATTAAAAAAATAATTCATTAATTAAATTTGTGACTGAACTCTTTGTGGGAGAATTGTATGTCTCCTGCTCCATGGATTTACCTGCATTCTGCCATATATTTCATGTTATGGCCGTCTTGGATTATGACCCAGCATATGTTGTTCGATTTAAGAACACTTATATTGCAGATTTGACAAAACACAAAGAAGGTACCAATGTGAGATTTCTAAAGATAGCTACAGCATTCGACCCAGCTTTAAGAATCTGAAGTGCCTTTCAAAATCTCAGAGGGACAAGATATGGAACTTGCTGTCAGAAGTCATAAAAGAGCAGCACTCTGTTTGGGAAATGACAGAACCTGAACCACCAAAAAGGAAAATCAACCTTCTCTTGGTGGCATCTGACTCAGATAATGAAAATGAACATATGTCAGACTGCACTGCTTTGGATCCTTATCAAGCAGAAACCATCATCAGCATGGAAGCATGTCCTCTGGCATGGTGGTCAATGCATGAAAGGGCATACAAATGTTTAGCATATCTGGCATGTAAATACTTTGCTACGCTGGCTACAAAAGTGCCATGAGAATGCCTGTTCTCACTTTCAGGTGACATTGTACATGAGAAGTGGGCACTAGGTTGAGATGGCAGAATTTGGTTTCCTATCGAGGATTTTGTCCCTTAGAATCACTGGGGACCTTAGGGTTTGGTTTCCCCTTTTCTCTTTCCCTCCCTTCATTCTCCTCTTCTTTAGCTTCTTTTTCATCTGCTTACCTCCCCCCACCAAGCAGGTGGGGGTGGGGGGCGGTAGAGGTTGTGATCCCCTCTGGTGGTGACCTGGGCCATCTTTTGGGACATCAGGTGACACCCGTCAGCCTCCCACCTCTCAGAGTCTCAATGCTGATTGGCCGAGCAGAGGGCTATTGACAGGGAGGAGAATCAGGTTCTTTTGTTCTCTTTTAAAACCAGGCAAATAAGTCACAACCAATCATCTATATTTGATTAATCTTGCTGCTTCTCCCCATTAATTGTCTCTGAGCAGTTCATGATTCTCTCAAAGGTTCTAGTTCTTCTAAAATACTTGCTGAATAATTACTATGAACAATTGTTGGTCTGTAGCTCATTTGAGAGCACTTTATTCTGATCAGTCAGCATATGAAATTCAAGATGTGACGGTTAATTTGAAAGTCAGGACTCCTGGGTCCTGTTCCCAACTCTGCCACTGACTGGCTGTGTGACCTAAGACAAGTCACTTCACCTTTCTCAGCCTTAGTTTCTCTCTCTGTGAAGTAAGGATAACAATCCTCTCCTACCCACCTCACCATGGGTGGAGAATGGGGAGCTGTGAGGATCCATTTCAGAATGTCACTAGTAGCAGCAGTGCATAATATGAGCTGTCCTATCAGATTATGACATAAAATACTACCTGAAATATTCTTTTCTTTGTATTTTGTTCTTTTGAAATTGTTAAGAGCAGCAACTGCTTAGCACAGACTGAAGCATCTTATCGAATTTTCTAGATCAAAGCGTCTCCTCTTTGTGTGCAATGAGACAACGTAACACTTTGTGACAAATAGGTGACCGTTTAGTTTTAATGGGATTTTCTGACAGAAAACTGTTTCAATGAGAATTTCCCCCCATCTCAGCTCCTGGGCTCTATCTCTGCATCTGGGGGGTTTGTTGTCTGTTAGAGCAACCCCATTGACACCTGCAGAAGTCAAACAGCTGCGCCCGTGAAGCAAAGGGACCTGGGGGGTGGAGGAAATGAGAGCTGCCGCCACTTGCGTCCCTGATGCTCCACGGGGGAGGGCACCTCCCAGGGAGTCCAGGACAGTGCGGGGCCCTCTCTGCTATGGTCTCCTGAAGCCTTTGGCAGCCAAAGGCGTCCCTCAGAGTCGGGGAGTGTGGGGCCCACTCTGCCCTGGGTCCCTTATGTGCAGGACTGGCCTACAACATTTTGGCACCTGAGGTGGGGAGCTCAAATGATGCCCCCATGCCCCCTCACTTTGCCAAAATTTTGAAAGGTCTCAATTCTGCCTTCTTCCTGTTCTACACCTCTCATTGTACTGCTCTGCTACCTACCCCAATAAAGGAGAACTAACAACTTAAAATGCCTTGTTCAAAAATTTTAAGTAACACTTAACTTTCAAACGCCTGAACAGCAAATGTAACTTTTCTTGTCTGCATAGTAAACACTGGCGTTTTTATCTGTTTGAATAATCAAAGTGGTCTTTCTGTGCCTTCTTGCTTGCAAAGATTTGAACTACTTCCTGCTGAAGGTCCACAGTCTGGGCCAGTTCATGCTCTATTGAGATGGTTGCAAGGCTGACCAGCCTCTCCTGTGTCATTCTGGAGCGTAGGTGTGTTTTTATTAACTTCACCTTGGAAAAGCTGCGTTCTCCACTGGCAACTGTTACAGGAAATGTTAAAAGTATGTACAGAGCCACAAAAGCATTTGGAAAGAGGGTGATCATCTTATTTGTGCACATATATTCCAAAACAGCCTTTGGAGTTGATCCTGCTGAAATGTATCTTGAAAGAGCTTTCAGTTCATCACCTAAATTACTCACATCAATATCGCGCACGTCATTATGTGTCAACACTGTCTCTAGTGCCCTGCATTGCTGGTATAGGTCTTCTTCAGGTATAGTGAGGAGTTTTGGAATATCATACAACATTCCAAATGTACTTCTGTGTTCCTTGAGCTGCATGAAACGTTGTTCAACTGACTGTATTGCACAATCTAGCACCTGGTTACAGAATTCAACTTTGAATTGTTGGTTGGGGTCTCTTATGGGGTTATCCCATGCCTCGTAATCAAAATGTTTTCTTCTTCAGTGACTCTTGTATTCTTGAATGAGTGGGAAAATAGCTTCAGTGTGAAGTTCCTCTGCGAACTTCTGTGCACTCTTCAGAACGTTTTGAAATCCCTCATCTGACCAGTAAGACTGTAGGTATGACTTCGCTTTGTCCAATTGTTCCATTGCTCCAGATATATCAAGGTCAACACCTTGGAGTCTCTTGCTTACAACATTTATTTCAAACATTATGTCATGCCACAACATTAAGCCACATAGAAATTTGAAATTATGTGTGTTTCTGGTGATTCCATTTCCCTCTGCCACTGTTCTCCCATGAACAGTTCCTGTCATAGCATTATCCTCCATAATGGCAACTATCTTCCCAATTTGGTGTTTGATAGGCTTTATCACCTCCACTGGACTTTCCCATCGTGTGGCACTCAAAGGTTTTAGTGTCAGAGAGGATGCTCCCAGATGTTGCTTCAAAATTTGCCATCAATGAGTTTATGCAGAGAAAACTACATAGATGCTTTGAATTACATTAAAAAATTCAGCAGCCTCACTAGGAGCTGAGGCTGCATCACTAACCACCAAGTTCAATGAATGAGAACTGCATGGGACAAAAAAAGCTCGAGGGTTTAACTCTCAGATCCGTGTCTGCCCTCCTCTGTTCTTTCCTCTCATGTTGGCACCATTATCGTAGTAGCCCTGACCTCTCATGTCAGCAATCGCAATTCCCGTATCTTCCAGCTTTTTAAGAAGCACATTTGTCATACCAGCTCCTGTAGTATCATCAATGTCAATAAATTCTAGAAAATGCTCTCTCACCGTCACCACTGCAGGGACATTTTCACTAGGTTCTGTTGTTGTTACAAAATGCACCATTAAAGTCATTTGTTCCATATGGCTGATGTCAGGTGTGCAGTCCAGAATAACAGAGTAATATCTTGCTGACTTCAGATCTGCCACAATCTTCTGTTTGACTTTTGTTGCCAGTAACTGTATGATCTCATTTTGAATTGTTTTTCCAAGGTTGTGGTGTGCGTACATTTCTGGGGTGGTGACTCTTCTTAGATGCTCCTGGAGTACAGCATCAAACGCAGCTATCAGCTCCACAATTTTAAGGAAGTTTCCATTATTTGACACATACAGCTGATCTGAAGTGCCATGCAGTGCTAAGTTGTGGGTAGCAAGCATTCTCACAATGGCAATGAGCCTTTTCAGAATATTTTACCAATAAAGAGACTCTGATGCAATCTTCTCTTGATCATCTATGGTAGCCTTTAACCTTAGTCTCATCTCAAGCTCTTTCCACCTATGGAATGCTCTCTGGTGATTTGCTGCCCTTTGTGGCATGCCAGATTTCTAGCCAGATTTTTCCAGTCCTTTGTTTCTGTAGAACCAATGTGCCTGGAACATTAGACTGGAAGAGTCTGCAACAAAAACAAAAAGTATTCTGGAGTTTTGAGTACATAAGCCATGGCCTCTCCATTTGTCACCATTGGGGATTTCACACCAGTAATGTGTTGGATGGAAACTTCTATTTTCATTGTCTTTGGGGAAGATGAAGTTTTTCCCTTGCTGTGGCCCATGCAGTACAAGGAAGTCCCTCGGGCTACTGCTCAAGTGGGTCCACAGTCCTGGATCATCTAGACTTCAGAAACTAAACTGAGCTGCAGCTGTTTGTTGCGCCTCCACCACACTCTTCTCTGATCTACAATTTTCTTCAGGAATGAGCATGGTTACATCCATTTGAGATGGAGATATGGATGCTGCAATAGCTGCCAGGTCACCTGCACTCTGACTAACTGGAAGATCAGGCATCTCCTCACCACTCACATCCTCACTGGGGCCGGAAGGCTCACCGTGAACATTTTGTGTTTATGTATCTCAGGAGACCTCCTTCCTGCTTAGATAGAGAAGCTTCCTTTGCTTTCTTTATTTTTCTGAATGCTGCCCCAGAGGGGTGTTTTCTTCTTTCACTCATGACTGCTGTTCTGTGCCAGCTATAGTGGCTCTCAACACTCAATTGAAGGGGACAAACAAGCAGGCTGGTAGGAGGGCCTGAGTGAGGGAACATATCAGTGTCTTAAGGGCCTAACTGGCTCCTACTACTTCAGTTGACTGCCTGTTCTCCTCAAGTGGGTTCAGGGAAGCAGCAGGAAACAGGAAGCTCCCTAAGAAGCTTGGTGTTAATCCATCCAGGCTCCTGGGGGTGCTAGAGACGGACATAAGAGGCTCCCCCTCCTCTCTCTCCCTGCAGCTCCTGCTGCTTTCTGTTATTCCCTCTCACCTTTTCTCCTGCCTGCCTATTATGTCTCTCATGCCCTCCTTCCTCCAGCACAGCACTCCACTATCTCTGTGCATCTAGAGCAGAGAGAATACATATGCCCCAGCAGCAGACACAATTTTCTACACTCTGGATCCTAGTGGCGCCCCCCGCAGCCTCCTCAGTTCGCCTCATGATAAGGCCAGCCCTGCTTATGTGGGAAGGTGGGACATTAACCCTGCTTTCCCCACCATGCCTCTGTCCTTTACCCAAGGGCAGCAGGAGTTACCCTGTCCCCTCTCTCCCTGGTGCACAGACCCCCTCGGACTCATTGAAGGGGGGGGTGCACAGGGAGGTGAATGCATGGAGCCACAAATAACCTGCTTTCAAGGTGATCCCAGAGCAGCTCCAGGGGAGAGAAAAGATACAAGCATTCCCCTGCTGGGCTGGAACTGAGATTCTCCTGCCTCCTCACAGCGTCCCGACCACTGGGAG